AAGAATGATCTCTGGCAGCCAAGGTATTGATCATCTGGTTCATCTCGGGTGGAGTCTTAGTAAGAATATCCCCTCCTGGGCATAGAGACTCAATCACCCTCTGGCTTTCCGGAGAGAGGGCACTGTAGAAGTTCCCCACTATGAATGCATCACTGAAGCCATGATGGGGATACTGCCAGAAATATCCCATGTACCGCTCCCAAGCATCACGGAGTGACTCATCGGGCTCTTGGCAGAAGTGAGTGATCTCCCGCTGGATCTCTGTAGTCTTCGATGCCGGATAGTACCTGTGTACGAATTTGTCAGCCAGATCGTCCCAAGAGGTGAGGGACAATGGGGGCTGGGTCTCCAACCACCTCTTAGCATTCCCCGCCAGAGAATGGGGGAAGAGGTGAAGGCGGATTGCATCATCGGGGACACCGTTCAGCTTGAACCCGTTCGTCAGCTGCAGAAAACGGGAAAGATGCACCCTGGCCTCCTCATCCTTCAAGCCATGGAACTGGATAGAGGATGTAATGAGCTGAATCCAACATGGCTTGATCTCGAAGTTGTTTGCTGGAATAGGCGGGTAGAGGATGACCGGGCGGATGTCAGCAATCCGTGGAGTGTAGTAGTACTCCAATGTGGGACCCGGCGGCGGTGGATGATGATGAACCCCATGATCCTGGGGTATGGGGTTGTTCCCCAGGACCTAATTCATCGGGGGAGCCTGCTGAGGATTCCCCTGGTGTGGATTGTATTCTCCGTCCATCCCGTACTCTCCTCAGAATCGCTGCTCAGGTGGCCGTCTATGCGCTCTTCTGTAGCCAGTCTAGCTCGTTGTTGTCTCCTGAGTTGGCGACAGGTGCGTTCAATCTCTGGATTCAACGGCAGTAAACCTCCTGACTGGCTACGGGTCATGCACTACCTGCACACACTCAAGCAAGCAAACCCATGAAGGCACAAGTGGGACAAAGCAAACAATGCGAAAAGAAAAGCTAAATTAACAGAAATCACTTTTCTTCAACAACCTAGCCGTCCCCGGCAACGGCGCCAAAAACTTGACTCGCTACGACACAACACCTAACAATGGCCAAGTGTAACCAATGGAAGGGACTGCCGTATAGTGGCTCAAGTGATAAATATCGAATCCACGGGTCTCTAGAGTTACTATTACTCAGTTTCAGTTTATTATTTAGCAAACCAGATTAAGATGAAAGAACTAAAACTACTCTAGCAAACTACAGTTAAAGTTAATCTAATTACAGGTTGGGAACTCACTTAGGTATGATTCCCCCTAGCCACTAGCCAGACTAACGATTGATGATTTCTAACTTGTTTCACTTTCATTCACAATGCGGAGAATCCTTGACTAGACCTTGAGTCTCGACTAAAGGAACAAGGCCCTCTTGAGTCAATTGCCTAGAGGGACGTATCCTTCTCTAGAACAACTGATCAAGGCGTTCTGAACTAGACTCCCTCTATCGAAAGAGGTTCTCAATCGATACAAAGCAGTGAATTAACCCTCAACTAAAGCAATCGATCCACTACTATCAATCTATGGTGCTCTATTGACCTAATCAGGTATTCCCTCTCATAGGATCAAAGCAGAATCAATAAACTCGACTAAAGCAGAATTGAATCATGAAAACATGCATAGATTGAATATGAACTCAAGATTATCAAGTCAGAGTACTCATACAATCATCCAATCAAACAAACATAGCTAGGGTTCCTCAAAACCTAAGTGAAGAGAAGTTACTCCATAGAGAAGAGAGAGACTGCAGTAAGAATCTTCAGATGATCAGTCTTCAAGTCTGGGCTTGTTCCTCGAGCTTCCAAGGCAAAGAAATTCTCCAATTCCACTCCAAGAATGCCCTCAGATCACCCTTTCTCTCTTTGGTTCGTCCCTTGGGTGTTTGGGATCCAAAACCCAGCTCCCCCTCTCCTTTGGCTCGAATTTGGGTTAAAAAACCCGATTCTGGGAAAAACACGGTCGAGGGCACGGCCGTGCTTTGGTTTTGCCCGCCCGTGTTTTGCCCCGTGTTAAAAACCCGCCCGCGCGCGTCGGCCAAAACACGGCCGTGCCTAAATATGGGCACGGCCGTGTTTTGATTTAGGCGCGCCCGTGTTTTTACTTCCGAACCTGTTCCCCTATATTCAATGCCTCGTTTCTCCCTCGTCCGGACTCCGAATCAGTCGCCGTTTGATCCCAGACGCTCATAGTCTCGTCCTCTTTCTTTTCATGACAAGATTGCATGATTCTTTGTCCATAAAGTGAGGTATAAATCCATTCTTCTTCAGGTCATGCCCGAGTTTCTTCTCCCGAATCGCCAATTGATCTCTGATTGACTTGAAACTTGCGCCTATGCTTCACTTTATGTGCTAGGAGCTGAAATGTGACAAAGGAACACAAACTAGAGTAAAATAGGCCAAAGACGCGATAATTAAATCTCAAACGATCAAGAAACAAAGGGGAAAACATGTGCAAATATCGAGTCATCAATGGGCATAGAGGGCTACTTTCATAGCCTATAATGCATTCCTTGGCCTAGCGATTGAGAGTGTGGTTCCAACCATTGTTGCTCCTGTTACGGTTCGCAATCGCCTTGTCGCACACCAATTCATTTGATCCCACAATTCATGGTAGTTAATTAGGGGGAAACAACCCTTGAGTGAAGCTTCTCACCAAGAGTTTCACCCCTTTTACTTTTCAAGCCTTGCACTTTAAATTGTAGATTGTAGAGATTCTTACAAACTACATTCCGCTAGATAATGTTTCAAACAATTGAAGTAGAGGTACATGGACTGGCTCGGGTTGATATTTACACATACTTGTCCTATATTGCACCCATTTAAGGTTTATACTTGGGCCTTAGGTGGGATTTAAGTGTGATATTCGGAGCGAGTCAGCTTCAACTCTTGGGGCTGGTTCAGGATCCTGATCCTGTGCCTGAATAAGTGGATTAGGCTGGTTGGAGCTCCACATTCGACTCTCTAATGAAATCTGAATTCAATGTTTGATGTTTTTTCAATATATGCTTTATTTGACACATTTGATGACTTAGCGAGTTGAATGACATGGTGGATCAGGTTCTAAGTTTTTTGGATTAAATTATGGTGATAAAGATTTCTATTAGCCATGTCAGCGGGGAAAAATGACGTCGTTAACAAAAACTAACGGAATGTGACAGTGAGTGAGCAAAGTTGAAATACTTAACTAATCTTAGTGACCATGAATGGAATAAAATATTCTTAGTAACCAACGTGAATTTTTTTAGTAATTCTAGTGACCAAACTTGCAATTTATCCTAATTGGAGTAATGTGAATGAATTGATTGTCAATGTGGTATTTTAGAATCAAATAATTCATTAATTATTTTTGTAGTATTTTAATGTTAATTTTGTGCTAATTTGACATGTGGTATTTAAAATTTCATCATTGATTGAACCATTTGCATGTGGTATTTGACAATAACAGAGGGATAAAATGAGTTATTTTCAAATAACATAGGGTATGAGATATTTCAAATAACTCACCAAAATAACTCATCTTGGTAAAGAGATCATCTGGATGAGTGATTTAACGTGGTATTTGTTGACAAATAACCCAAAAAATATGAGTTATTTGTGTGTCATTGTCAAATTTGAGATTATAAGTTGATGAAGAATACGAATACGTCATGAGAAAAATACTCAAACGAGTTATTTTGTATCAATGATTTAAAATGAGTTATTTGAATCCGAATACATCATGAAAACTTGCTGTAAATTATTTAGGCTAAAATAACTCATTTAAAAATCACATCCAAACCAGCAATATATTTCGCCCGCCCCATTAGAACTTCATATTTCGAACATAATCCAGCGGAACTTCAAGCATTGCTCGTTTATAATAATTCCGAACATCTTTCCCCGACTCTAAAAGCATAAATGCCATGACAAGTCAGTCTAGTAATTCTGCTAACTAGAAGATTCGTTAGTATATACTAACTAATATTCAAAATGTATGAACTAATATCCAAGTCTGCTGAGTATCTAGATAGCACAGACTAGTATTCAAAACATCACAAACTATTATCAAAATAGCACTAGTATTCAATATGGATACTCTTATATGTTATCTGGATACTCTTATGTGTTATCTGGATATTAATTATGTGCTATATGGATACTATTCTGTGTTGTCTAGATATTAGTTTATGAATTTGGGATAATAGTTGATTCATGGTGGATATCAGTTAGCAAACTTTGAATACTAGTATGTGCTCTCTAGATACTTTGGTACTTGGATACTAGTTCATGTATTTTGGATATCAGTTATTATCTACTAACGAATATTCAAGTTAGCGGATTAACTTTTCTCGTGCCTACATCGAGAAAAACCCTACTGACCGAGCCTAGTAAGGAGGGAAATGTTTATGGCATTAGGTTGATCCTTCATCCCATAGGACCCATACGCATACAACTCCCCTGGCAACCGTGCCTCGGTGCCTGTCGCGAGAGCAAACAACCCCTCAAGCATACCAATTACAGAGAAATGATGAGATAATAGCTGGATTCCCCCGATCTCGACCAATATTCAAAGGATAATCTCGTGACCCAGAATCAAATCCATTCATTTCTAAATCTACTGATTCTTTTACTAACCATTTACCTCGAGAATCGATCATCTAATGCCCTGGCACATAACATCATAGTTACAATGTACAAAATAGAAATGTTGCCAGATACCGCTACATGCCTACATGGGATCATCACCAGCTTTAAAGTCTATTCACAAGTTGGATTCACATTATTGTTCATTGCCAAAGGCCAACGAATTGTATGATGCCTGAATATAAACAAATTAGGCAATTGATTGACCTTTACTACACTGTCAAAACATAACTTTTGTATCGCATCTTAACCAACCTTGAGCTTGGACGGAGCAAAAGAACAATTCAGCCAAAACCGAGCTCTTTACTCTTTAGGCATACTCTAGCCAGCACACCTACCAAGTAGCGCACAGCCATTTCTAATTAGCGGCATTCCCGTATCTGCGAAGCTCTACTTGTGCTCGCTTCTCCTATCGATACCGTGGCAAGCGACTTTGACGCCCATGCTCTAGCACTCATGGCTCCCTCTTGCAGGTTTGTTTTCCTGCTGCAAGGCCCCACAAGGCACTTGAACGCCTGGACGACATCATTCAGAAAGGCACGAGGATGATCAAATATGCTCCCTAAGCTTGGATAATGAAGGTGCCTCCTCCAAACAAGTTGAGAAAATGAGAGCAGACTAGGCAAAATTAAGTAGAGCAGTCTGAAGAGTACAAAGGCAGTGGCCAGAGCTAAATAGGTCTCCTGCCTAAACAATTTTTCTGGGGACTTAGCCCAGGAAAATGGGCAGCTTTCCTGGACATTGCTGCCATGCCTTCCACTGTTTGACGGGTGCCAGTTCTTTGATAGAGATGCTTTATCAGGTAATGCAATTGTTATACCTGCAAATAGTAAGCAAATCCTAAACAAAAAGATCGATAAATTCACAAGTCTTATAATCCTACTTTGGAAATGTACAATAGTTCAAAAATTTATGTGCCTAACGCTACCCCGCTGAAAATCCACAATGCTGCCTATCATATTTATATTGCCAGTGAGAATATTAGCATCTAATTGCTAAGTATCTATATAATCAGCAAAAAAACTAGTCTTTCACATTCAAGAAGAAGAAAACAAAATATTAGGGAACTAGGACTGCTTAGCTACTGCCGTTCAAAAGACACTCAGTCTTAATTTTCTATGTGTTTTGCTTTGCATGGGCTATTTCAAATACACACAAATTAAAATGTTAGCGTAAAACAAATTTGAATTGCATGTTGTTACAAATATTGTTCTCCCAAGCACACCCGATCAATGGTGGCAACAAAAGAAATTAATGTGATAGCCAGGGAGACAGACCAGAAAGCCTTACCGGTTACATCACTGTAGAAATTAACAAGAGAGCCAAGAGTGCGGGAACCATGATACCTCACACGCATTGTAGAATTCAGAAGCACCAGAGCAGGGAAGCCGTGAACTCCATACTTTGACAGCATGCTAGTTAAACCAATGAATGTTATGATTAAGTAAACAACTAACATTGTTCCCCATGATCAGAGAAAAACAGTTCAAAACCCAGGAGGAGAAGGCAGCAAACCTGGGACGGATGGATAATTCTTCAACTGCAATATGGGGTATAGAAGGATACAGAGAAGCCAAGACAGGGAACCTCGGCTTAAAAGCCTTTGAAAAAGGGCACCATGCTGCATAAAAGAGCACAGCTACATAATCCAGACCACCCTTGTATATCAAGTCTAGCGCTTTCTGTAATGGAACTTCGTCCACCTGTAAGAGTAATGCCATCCATGAAAATCAGAGGAAAAAAGTGGGACCAAACTCAACCTAAGATCGACCAACTATCCTCTCGACTCATTACATTAATAAATGGAGTAACCGTGGGAAAAATGGTTGGAAGACATCTGAAGCCAAAGACTTTTTAGGCAGTCGCCTCCTAAAGGACAACTGAAAGCTATTGCTAGGCAAGTAGAAAATCTAGACTAACTAAACCAGGAAACTCTACTGTTCCACACCTAACGGAATTCTGTTTACTACTAACTGCTATTAAGCGACCATTTTTCCTTAACGACCCTGTTTTAGGACACAAAGCAACCAACGGTACTGAACTTAACCAGCTCCAAAACTAGCGCATATCCATCAACTACTAACTAGATAGCGCAATCAAGAATCAAGATATATATATATATATATATATATATTTTTTTTTTTTATGGTTTAACAATTGACAACGAAATGTCGAGGGAAATTGGGTAAAAAGGTAGTGGGGGAGAAATAGAAGGGAAAGAAGGATACCTCGTTGACGCAAGCGGAAGAGAGTGATTGGGAATTAGCGAAATCGGAGTTGGCATCTCGAAACCCAAAGATCGAATCTGTAATAGCAGGTACGGGGCACATCGGAACCCTAGTAGCAGCAGCGTCGGCGAAGGTGGTGGCACCGGCGGAGAGAGTGAGAGCAAACACCAAACCCACCTTCCATATCCTCTTGCAAACCCTAGGTCCCAGCCCCATGGTTGCGATTGCGAAAACCTAAAAGCTAGCGGGAAATGGTGTGGAAATCTCAGGCAGCGGAGAGGAAAGGAAACTAGGGGTTGGCGAGAGAGGAGCAACGGCTACCCATTTTCAGGAGAGTAAATAGAGAGAAAAAGAAGAAAGATGATGAGAAGAGGAAGGGATGTACCGGTAAAGAAAGGCGATCATTGGTAGGCGGGGGAAGCTGAAAAGCGCCGGTGGGCGCTGCCGCGGATCGGGAATGGAGGTGGAGGTGTTGCTGGTGAGAAGCACTGGATTAGGCAACAGAGAGGCTGATGTTTGCTTTCGGGGGGGGGGGGGGGGGGGGGGGGGTTTCGGCTCGGCTCGGCTGCTTTTATTTTTACTGTGTTGGCGTAGCTCGTCTAGTTATTCTGCTAATTTGAAAATTCACTAATATATACTAACTAATATCCAAAATATATATAAATTAATATCCAAGTTTGCTAAGTATCTAATTAACACAGACTAGTATTCAAAACATCACAGACTAGTATCCAGATAGCAGATACCAACTAATATCTACAATCAACCAACTAGTATTCAATGTGGATACTCTTATGGGTTATCTGGATACTAATTATGTGATGTTTGTATACTATTCTGTGTTATCTAGATATTAGTTTGTAAATTTGGGATAATAGTTGATTCATGGTGGATATCAGTTAACAAAATTTGAATACTAGTCTGTGCTCTCTAGATACTTTAGTACTTGGATATTAGTTCATGTTTTTTTTTTGGATATCAGTTAGTATCTGCTAACAAATTTTCAAATTAGCAGATTAACTTTGACCCGCTGCTCCAGCTCCAAGGGTTCTCTCTGTTCGGGATTTCTCTCTCTCTTAACTTGTAAAGAGATTAAGGTTAACCGCAACCGCAAAGTGTCCATATTCACCAATCGCGATCGCAGATAGGAAGGTTAGCGGTTAACCGATTCAACCTTGTACTTTTGATGTCGAGAGCGACGAGCAGAGCATACCTGATGTAGACGAGCAAAGATAAGCCGATGTGGACGAGCATAGTAGAGTCGATGTGCCTGTCTGGACGACAGGTCTGAACTTTTGAAGTTTGATGTCGAGACACGCCGTCTGAGGAAGTCGAGCATGCAGTTGCGTTGTGCTGCTAAGCGCCGAACTAGAATCGTTGGTCTGCTACTCAGCTTGCTGGGTAACAAGGGCGGCGGCAGGAGGATTTGCTGGGCGACAAGGGTCGACATCTCAACTCTCTCTCAAAGCCTCTCTCGACGGACGACTGCGATTCACGATGATTAGGGTAGGGATTTCGCCATTTGGGAATGATAGTCGCAAAATGGGGGAAGGGACCGGATCGGGTGTCTGGAAGCTCGTCAGGTGGCGTCTCCAGATCTTATTTGTTGCACATTGTGTTGCCTGACTGACTTGACTGTCTCTGGCGTTGTAAAAATTTATCGATTTACGCCCCTGTTTTGGATATAATTATGCACTTGTTTGCTTCATAAATTTGAAAAATGAGCATTTTCATAAGTTTTGGACTATAAGAATCCTAAGTTTATGATGACTTCTTGTTATAGTGGATTTGAAATAGTCTTTTGCTTGGATTTTGTTCGGGATTTTACTTTGTTTGTATTACATGCATTTTTTCGGTACTAACCCACGAACACGAACTTTGATACATTGTTCGAACGCTCTCAAGTAGAGCTCTCATTATTGGTGAGAACAACCCCAAATAATTAAACGAAAGAGTAAGTACATATTTATAGGCATAGAACATCTTCTTTCTACTAACTAAAACATGACTACTTCTCCCACAAGAAAACAACAACCAATTCCTAAACAACTACTAAAAAATCATCCAAATCCTACTAAGACAATCAAACATTAATAAAATCTCCAAATAATACGAAATATGAATTAATTAATAAACCTACTACAAATATATGAGCCTAAAGATTCCTAAATTATTACGAATGACTCATATCGTAACAATCCTCCCCCCTTTATCGCAACCTAATGGGATGACCACACATTGCTTCAACCGGGATCGATGAAAAAGAAGCTTCTCTAAGGTTACTGTAGAGAATAATGAGCGGAATAATGGTGTTCACGTCTTCGATACTTCCAATTGAGCTTGAGCACCAAATCCTATCCTCCAACAACAACATCGTAAGCAAAAGTGAACCTTTCCTCCACCACCTTGAACAACTCAGTCAACCTCATTTCACTCTTCCTCCAAACTGTGATCTCCATGGCATGATTAAACCAACTACCACACTTGCAACACCCTAATCCCATCTCTCATGTGTGCCTATACGCGGCCTCGAATTTAATCAATGCGACATCACATAAACAATTTTTCCTACCGCCTTGATAAATCGTGTCGTTCCGTACTCTGCTTCCTCTCGTCGACTAAAATTAGGATTGGCCATCGCGGTGTAGCTGGCTAGACGTGGGCTCAATTGCGTCCCCGCTAATAATAATGTGATAGTAAATCTAGTTGAAAAGATAGCGACATGGTCATCCATAGTAGTCTTCTTCTGTAGGATGGTAGGATCTATAATTTTACCACACCTAGGCCACCTCCATAAATGTCTCAACGTTTGGTGGAATACGAGCTCGCGTGTCTCCATGAATTCAGAAGTGGCTCATCGTCGTTTCTTCCTCTTCTTCCTCCAAGGAAAGAACTTGTTGTCCTACACGTTGTGGTCGGTTTCCGTTGGCGGTAGTAATTTAGTGACGCAAACAGGTGATGAATCGGGTTGCTTGCTAACTTCACCCTTGAACATTGGTGTATCCCCTTAGATCAATGAACCCAGAGGTTCATCAATTTCGGTCAGTTGTGGATGTCTTGAGATAGCCAACAGTGGTTGTGTGGAGGATGTTTCGGTGGATACGACGCCTGCTAGCCGTTCCTTCGCACGATCAAGAAACCTTCTTCTTCGATGAGTCTGTCTTTGGGAAACAACCGCAGGACGAGATCAAGTACTACACTATGGACCCAATCACACTCATTCATAGAACCATATTGATGAATTGGTAGTGATCTATTCAACATGGGGGGATATTCTGCGTCATGTGTCAAAAAGCCCCAAATTGATTGATGAGAACAAGATGCAATCAATTGCATGAAATACTCAATTCAAGAGATAATAGAGAATCATAATCATAGGATTTGTCGCATATATCAACAATCAAACCAATATCTAGACCTAGGGTTCATTAGCCTAAGTGAAGGAAAGCTAATTCATAAAGAGGAGAGAATTTACAATACAAAGTTTGAGATCTTCATTCTTCATCTTCTTGGCTTGATTTAATTGCTCCAATCTGAAGCCAAGCCTGGAATTCAGTCCCAAGGTCACTCTAGATCACTCTCTATAAAAATCCACCTTTGGATGTTTTAGGGTGAAAACCCGACTCAACTAAACTCTCCTAGGCCATGTTAAGACTTCTTAGGCTTTTCTCTAACAGTCGAATGAAACGCAGCACTTGGAGATTAATGTAGCCGTGTTCGGGACCATGTTCGAGCCGTATTCTACAGACTATAAAGATGATGTTGTTGGTTTCCTTGTTTATGAGACAGTGAACCTTGCAACTGCCCGCGAGACGTCATTTTCTCTATGCTCCTCAACACCGGACACGGTCTACGAACACGGTCGTGTTACTTGACAAATTTTTCAAACACGTGTCATGGAGAACAGGATCACGTCCTACGTCGTGATAATGAACACGGGTGTGTAACACGATTGTGTCACTAGGTTGTGTTCCTCCTGCTTTCTCCTTTCGTTGATGTTTCTTACTCCATTTGTCTCGAAATTAGTTCCTCAACTTCCACCATGTACTAGGAGCTAGAATATGACAAACGAGGTACAACCTAGCATAATGTATGCCAATGAATGCTAAACTCCACTTTAAACGATCAAGATATGAAGCATGAAACATGCATAATTAGCCTCGAATCACTTACCTATGACATTTTCTCAAGGTAATTTGACATACCACTAGTAATTCAGATGAATTTCTAAGCCAATAGTCTAATAATCTAATTACTTGCCCATGGTAAAAAATTATAAATATACCAAAACTAATTCATACTTAAAGTTCAATAAACTAATCATATTCAAGCTCTCATGCCAAATTGTTTGCCGATGGTATATGGCTATACAGATCATATATAATATTGTAGCTTCATAGTGATAATATAAGTCAAATTGTTTGCCAACATAGCGTATCTATACCATAAATAATTCTAATTTTAATTATACGATTATCTTGATGATCACCATCTTTTAGCAAGCTTCTTAAATCCCTAAAAGGATCAATCTTAACTTCATTTTACTTTGCCACATTAAGCATAGTAAATATCAAGTTCTAAATCACATGCATGACAAACAAATTATCATGTCTTGACAAGCATCATAGGAATTAGAATTCCTTGTCTCTTGTGGTTTCTTCTTAATGAAATCTTTTATACGTGAATTAATCAAACTTTATGTCCAAGATATTGGAGGTATACTGTCACATTATGTTCAATTTACTTTGAACATTGCATTTATATTTATAGAAAATTTAAGCTTAAATAGACTTGAGCCAAAAGTCCCCATAGGTTTTACACACCAATGATTGTTCATATTTTCCTAACCGGGTAGCTTACAACCTTCCAACTAACCTTATACTCCACAAAGGGCTATTTTGAATTAAGTCCATTCACAAATTTGTGGAACATGTTAGCATATAGAAGTTACATTTTTCTATCCTCTCATCCATCGCATTGAATGAAAAATGTCCGAAATTGGGCTAATTATCATTCATTCATGCCACATAAATGAAATGGACCAATACGACGAACACATTAACAACTTGGTAGTTGATGTTGGAATCAGATGGGTTTGGTGCTATTTATTGAAAATGAAGGGGCGCAACTCTTCGGTGGGTGGTTACACGCCAACAATTGTATTGGTTCATTTAAAATTCCCAACTATTGCATCGGTTCGTTCAACCCATGGAAGTTGGACCGATTGGGTTATTCCAACTACCACATCAATTTGGTTCAACTCTATTTGATTTGATTGGTTACACAAACCAATCTAAATCGATTACCAATATATTTTCCGGTCGATCGATTCCGAGGATGTGCCTCTCCACATCTCACCAATGTGGTACTTGAAGATCATATCTTGACTCATACCCCTTTCATTTTCATTCACACCATTCAACGTAACATCCCAACAATACACAAAAAAGGCATGGTCTAGTGGTAATACCACTAGTCTTGAACTTGGAGGTTCTAGGTTTGATCCCTTGAGTAGTACCTAAACCACAAAAAGTAAACATATATCACCCTTTAAAAAAAATCCCAACAATACTTTCATATTCACGGTTAGGGATGATTTGTATCTTCATGGCTTTAACGGGCAAGCCTTGATGTGGTCCCTAGTTGTTGCTATAGTGCCATGCAGGGGCGTCAACCCGGATTGACAAGTAGCAAGGTTCACGGGCAGAAGGCCACACAACATCTTTTTTCTTTTGTTTTTTGAATTGCATATCTTTTACGGTTTTCTCCTTCGCCTAATCTTACCTTTGTAATTCTTAGTTGAACATTTGAATATTTATATTTTATGAACGTGTTTAAAGTTTCACTATATGTTGGATCCAGATACGAATCGTTATTTTCGTCTAATGTGATTTGTTAGGTCAGTTGGCAGAGCGGAGGAGAGCGAATCTCAACAGTAACTCTATGATGAGTAACCATGAGTAACCCAACCAGAATTCGGCACATCAGCTCCCCTCTCTTTCCCCTCTAATATTTAACAGACGATTTCTCTCTCGTTTTAAGTCGGAATTTAAATATTTTTGCACAGATAAATTTGATTAATTGTGCTCTTCAAAATTATATCCACTTTGATGTATTTTTGGAACATAAAAAATTGAGGCATTTTTTACCAGTCCATACCATAATAATATTGGTTGCTATTAAAATAAGAGCATACCATATGGTATGAAAGCGTACTATGGTGGTATAAACCTACCAAGACTGTAGGATGGTTGAATACATGATAGTAGGAGCATTCTAAGTGTCATTTACGACTTTAAACATTGTGTACCACAACATACCACCCCATACCAGGGTGGTATAGTGTGGTATTATTTTGTACTATATTTTGTTCACCCAAAAATTTGTAAATCCAATAGATCGTGATGAACTCGTTCTTTCTGTGAATTGTTTTTCAAAAAAAACTTAAAAACGAATGAGATACCATATGGAATGGAGTTGGTAGCGAGTGGTATGAATTTTTTTTCTAAAAAATATTGAAAGTGGATATCATTTTGAATAACACAACGAACTTGTTCCATCTGTGTAAAAAAAAATGAAATCCAAGTTAGAACGAAGAAGATAGGAGCCGATTAAGAAAACTAAGTAAAATGAAATGATTTTAATTCTCAAAATTAAGAAAACTAAGGAAAATAAACCGAGCCCACTATAAAAAGAAAGTCCAGATTTAACTATACAAAAGTGCATTTGCATTTTGCACCCTAACTTGCGCTGAGGGTAGTGACTAGTGATGGCGATGGGGCAGGGTGGGACGGGTACCTCAATACCCATGCCCCCATGCTAGTGTGGGCCGGAGCGTGTAAAACCCTTACGGGTGCGGGGCGGGTCGACCCACTCTTATATGTTATTTGAAAAAAATGCATGTAAATTTTACATTTTACGATAAAACGAAGGGGAAACACTATATAAATGAAAATAATGATAATATATTGGGTAATTGAGTCTAACAAGTTGAAAATTCGACTATAACTAGTTGAAAAAAGTCAAAATATGCGAAATATGGATAGATATTGTAAAAAATTAAGATAGCAAGAGTCAAGAACGGGGCTTGGCAGGACGAGTCGGAAGTAGATATCTATTCCCGCCCCATTCTACTGCAAGTCAGGTAATACCCATTCCATCGCGGGCAGGTTGGATAATACCGGCGAAGCGGGTTCAAATTGCCATCACTAGTTTAGTGGAAAACTAGGAAAAAATCCCAAATTACACAAGTTTTTTTAAAAAAATTCTCAAATTACACACGTTATGAAAAAATTCCCAATCTACGCATGTTTGGGTATTCACCGCGGCCGAGAAAGGCGGCGATTGCATCACCGCAGGAGAGGAGGGCGGTGATTGGGCATTGATTGTATCACCGCTGTAGAGGAAGACGGTGATTGCATCACCGTTATAGAGAAAGGCGGTGAATGCTTCACCGTGTTACACGGCCGCAGTGAAGGCCTGACATGCGTCGAAACTTTAAACGAACGTAACTTTGTGCTAGGTTATCCGATCGTAGCGAATTTTTTTTTTATTCCACATAACTTTTCGAAATCTTGCAAGCCGCAAATGCCGTAGGCGGTTTGGTCCCGCCTTCGTCCCGAAAAAACGTCATATGCTACCCCGAACGAGCCTTTTTACGATTTCGTCAAAGTTTGAACACGACCATAACTTTGTGCTCTATAATCCGAAAGTCATGAATTTTTTTTTGACTTCACATAATTTTTTAACAACCATAACTTTGTGCTTCACCTGGTTCGAAACAGGCAGGTCGGATTTTTTTATATCTTCTTTTAATTTGTTACCTCCTTCAAGTTTTATTTCCGACTAACCGTTGGCGCGGAGATGGAGAGCAAGCCCAAAATCGCCCCGCAAAACCTGATATACGGTAGCTTTCTCTCTATACTGATATAAGGCTAAACCAAACTTGGAAAGATGTACTGTAGCTTTCTCTCTATACTCTCTTCTCCTTTCTTCTCACCAGCTGCTGCTTTCGGAGCATTCAATATTCAGCGCGTTTACAAACGCATATCAAACAAGGAAATCGATGCATATCGACGAGGTCAGAAGGTGGGCAAGAGGATCAAGGAAGATCAGGGGAGCATTTATGGTAGAAGTAAATCCAGGGCAGGGTTACCCCTCACCGCCGCTATTAACTGCAAATGGAGGCGTGCCAGCTTCATATTGTGCCTGATCAAATTTGGCCAATTGAAGCCAAAGCCACCTGATCAGCCTCCCAGTAATGAATTAGGAGGAGGGAGAGGAACCCTGGAGACACCAGACAAGAAGAGAGTTAAGGAGAAGTGGGGAGAGGGAATACATAAAGGTCATAATAAGGAGGCACAGCAGAAAGGAGATCCAATCATTAATTCCTCACAAAGAGCTCACCTAAAGAAGATCTGGGAGATGGATTTGCCAATCATTACTGCTAAGCCTACCTACACCCTGTCAACCAGGCACGAGACTCAGAAGATCAATAAGGAGAAGAAGGAGGCTAAACAAACCAGGACAGAGCAGCTGGGCAGGTGCCTGGGAATAAATACAACTAGTAAGAGGAAACCACCTAGGTAGAGGAGCACCTCCCATAAATGGCAATTAATAGGTAAACATGAGAAGATCCAAAAAGGGAGAGGAGACTCTCAACTACCGTATTTATTATCGGAGGCAGTAATGACTGATAAGGGGTGGGACGATCAAGTAAGGCAGGTCGAGGGACAGTATAAAAGGAGCAAGCAACATGCAAGATCGGATCAACTTACCCCAAAGTAAAACAAGAGCAAATCCAAAGATCCAGAAAAAACTCAGGTGGACCCAAAGAGCAATTGCGCTTACCCATCTCCTAGCCCTTCCAGCAACCCAAAACTAGAACTGAATGCATCGAGTTCAAGAGGAATTAAGAGCCACCTGGTCCTTAATGTCAGGCCAAGAGTGGTGGGCGCCAGAGACAGTGGCATCCCCATGCTTCTTTGCAGATGGATTACGGATACAAGCATCAATCTACACAAGGCCAAAAACACAGCATCCTACAAGTGGAGGGCCTATGGAGAAGTCCAAGCTACCAAAGAGGCGGACAACCTTTTTGTTTACTCCTTTCCAAAAATGAAGCAAAGGGATGCTGTTTGGGAGGCAAGGCCGTGGCTGCTGGGCAATACCATGATTGCCATGAGGAAGTGGGATGGCGAACAAAAGACTGAATTGGAAGATATCAACACAATCACTCTTTGGGTGCAGATGCATGACCTCCCCCAATCACTCAAGGACGAAGAATCCATTCAAGCAGTGTCTGAATTCATATTCCCTCAGTACCATGGAATTGACAACTCCAATTTCGAGTTCAGAGGATGGCTGAAGTTCGTTAGAGTGAAAATGGAAGTCCAACTGGATAAGCCTGTCCCGATCGGTTTTGAGTGCCCATTGGGAGAAAGATCAATCTGGGTTAGCTTCAAGTATGAGAGAATCACTGACCTGTGTTACTTCTGTGGCCGATTGGGCCATCTTATCCGAAATTGCCTTGAACGAGAAGATCACCGAAGAAGGGGACTATGCACAGATCCCTCGGAAGTCGACATGGCGGCGCTCAAAGCTGGTCACGACTCACCAGAAAATATCCCACCGGCGTCGTTCCGAGTGAAACAGGAAAGACTCAGGCAGAACACACAGATCGAGCAACGGTCCCGCAACAAACCAGTATCCCGAGGAGAATCGTCCTTACTGACACTCGTGGGCCATCCAGTCCAGACCCATGTCTCTTGCCCACCTGGCTTCGTGGCCCTGCCGATGGAGAACCCAGGAACCATCAGAGGGGGAGAATGGATGCTTAGAGGAGAGGGGAGCCCCACCAACTTTTCACAAGTATCGATGCTACAAGTGGAGCTGGCGGCAGCAGCAATGCAGAGAGGCTTGGATCTGTCGGGCAGGAAGGAGACAATGGAGAAGCAGGCAGGGCTTTTGGAGATGGGCCAATCTCTCATGCTGGCCAGCCCAACCCTACCATTTCAAGAAGCAGGCCAAGCCCTAGGCTTCGAAGAACAGGTACCAGAAGGGGAGGCCCAAATGGCCCAGTTTATTCATCAACAACCTGACGGGGTTCTAAACCAAATAACCCAACTCAAACAACAGCCTCCAGGCCTGCAGAACCCAATTGAAGCGGAGGAAAATGCAAACGGACTAGAGAAGAAGAGGAAACCAGATCACCGAACTAACCAATCCGAATCAGCCACAATGCAAAATTTGGCTAACAATTTGTCTGTTGACTCTTTATCCTTTACTACAGGGGGAGATATCAGGAGGTATGCAAGAAACACACAATTAAGAGGAGGAGCATCAGGGAGATCAATGAGGACGGGAACCAGTCAGGCGAGGGAGAATCCAATTTCCCGATGGCGACGGCGGCAGGCCATAAGCCGCCTTCCCAACCATGAGGATCATCAGCTGGAATTGTAGGGGGTTTGGCCAGCCCCTTACAAGAGGCTATTGTGGCAGATTTTACCGGAAATTTGGCCCCTCAGTGGTGTTCCTCATGGAAACCAGGAAAGATGACCAGTTCATGGAAGGGAAGAGGAGGGAACTAAGGATGGACCACTCGAAATACGTCAGCCCGTCAGTAGAAGGTAGTGGCTTGGCGCTCTGGTGGAAAGAAGGAGTGGATTTATGTGTTCTTGATGTCTGTAAGTCCTACATGGACACTAGGATCAGTAGGGATGTAGTCACTTTCTTTTGTACCTTCATCCATGCTCCAACCACGGTGGTGGAGAGGAGATGCCTCTGGGATCAACTTACGAATCTAAGAGAAGCTCAGGATGAAAAGTGGCTTATTTTGGGTGACTTGAATGTTGCTCTGTTTCCGTTTGAGAAGCAGGGGCACTGCCCCCTTAGAAATGAAAATGTGGCTCCTTTTAAGTACTTTATTGAGCAGAATGCACTAATGGATTTGGGTTTCTCGGGTCAGCCTTTCACTTGGACGAACAAACAGCAGGGCAACAACCTTATCAGAGAGAGGCTTGATCGAGCACTCTGCTCGCCCTCGTGGCGGATGAGTTTTGAGCCGACAGTGGTTTTTCATGAAGATTTTGTCGAATCGGATCACTGCCCGATGAGACTCGATCTTCATCCAAAGCATCAAGCTAGACATACCCCGTTCAGATTCGATAAGAGATGGATGGATAATGATGAATGCTGTCACATTATCACGAACAGATGGAGTAGAGGGGGGCAGGTCAATGAGAAATTGAAAGGTTGCCAGAAGGATCTTCAGAACTGGGCAAGAATTGACCACAACAACAAAATCAGAAGAGAATCAGAAATTAAAGCAAGACTCCAAGTCTTACAAGGCCCAAACAGGACCAACGAGATGATCAACGAAGTAAATAATCTTAATCTGGAGCTCTCTATGATCTGGAACACTGAGGAGGAATTCTGGGCACAAACTTCACGGAACTGCTGGCTGCAGGAAGGTGATCAAAACACAGGGTTTTTCCACGCCAGCACCATCAAAAGGAGGAATAGGAACAAGATCCTCAAACTGAAGAACTCCGAAGGAATCTGGCTTGAAAAACTGGAACTGGACACTCATGTCAATGACTTCTATCGTGACCTGTTCACTGGCAAGGGAGGGCTCTTTGACCACTCTCTCTTGACTGGTTTCCCACAGTTGGTGAACAATCAGGCGAATGAAGCACTTACAGCTGAGATTGAGGCCATCAAGATTCGAAAGGAGGTGTTCCAGCTTGGAGCTAGCAAAGCCCTTGGACCTAGTGATGGCAATGGGGCGGGGCGGGGCGGGTACCTCAATTCCCATGCCCCGCCCCATGCTACTACGGGTCGGGGTGGGTAAGGGGCGGGGTGGGTCGACCCACTCCTACATGTTGTTCAAAAAAAATACAAGTAAATTTTACTTTTACAATAAAACGTAGGGAAAAACACTTTAATAATGAAAAATATTGATAATAGAATGGATAATTGAGCCTAACAAGTTGAAAGATCGACTCTAACTAGTTGAAGAAAAGTCAAAATAGGAGAAATATGTATAGATATTGTAAGAAATTGAGATAAAATGAGTCTAGAACGGGGCGGGGCAGGGCGGGTCGAAAGTAGATACCCATGCCCCGCCCCACACTACTGCGGGTCGGGTAATACCCGCCCCATCGCGGGTCAGGTCGGGTAATACCCGCGGGTTGAAATTGCCATCACTACTTGGACCTGATGGTTTCCAGGGCTTCTTCTTTAGGAAATTCTGGAGCCTGATCGGGGACCAACTCTGTGAAGAGATCACCTGCTTCTTCAGGACTATAGTCATGCCGGAGTCGTGGAATGATACTTTTATTACCATCATCCCAAAAGTGGAGACCCCAGAGACGATTAGCCACTTTTGGCCTATCAGCTGCTGCAATTTCAGGTACAAAGTCATAACAAAAATCATGACAAATAGACTGCAAAAATGGCTACCGGGTCTGTGAACGAGCTCCAGTCGGCCTTTACAGGAGGGAGGCAAATCCAAGACAACATTATCATCGTCCATGAAGTTCTTAACCATTTCAAGAAAAACCGAACTGGCGGTCGTAAAGAGATGATGATGAAGCTGGATATGCGAAAAGCCTATGACCTAGTCAAATGGGACTTTCTCCTAGAGCTATTAAGAGCATATGGTTTCAATAATGTTTGGTGCACCTGGGTTAAAGCCTGTATCACAACGGTCAAGTTCCGGCTCCTCTTGAACGGTGAACCTTCATCTGAATTCATCCCATCTCGAGGACTGAGACAAGGAGACCCACTGTCTCCTCTTTTGTTTATCCTCATGTCCAATGCCCTCTCCTTCCTCATTGAAAAAGCGGTGCAGAATCAGGAGATGAGAGGACTCAAGCTGAACAGATTCTGCCCACTGCTGACCCAATGCCTTTTTGCGGATGATACTGTGATTTTCAGAGACGCCTTAACCTTGGAAGCACAGAGTATTTTGAAGATTCTGGACTCGTATGGAACAATCACGGGACAGGAGGTTAACCGGGAAAAGTCTTCAGCCTTCTTCAGCTAGAATGTGACTGAAGATGAGAAGGGAAGTATTATCCAATCTATTGGGTTCGATTGTTCCAATGCTCACTTGAAATATCTGGGAGTGCCCACAGAATGGGGCAGATCCAAGAAAGAAACATTCCAGTTCCTTATCCAAAGACTGGAGAAACAAGGAGAAGCGTGGAAAAGCCGGATGTTGTTTCCAGGGGGGAAAGGAAACTCTTCTCAAAGCAGTTTTCCAGGCTGTTCCATCATACATCATGTGCCTCTTCCTCCTCCCTCGTACAATGACAAACAGAATGGATGCAATGCTCAAAAGATTTTTCTGGAGTGGGTCTACCTCCAAAAGATCAATACACTGGAGGGTAGGAAGAGTTCTTTACGCCCATAAATCAGAAGGAGGATTAGGGTTCCGACCGTTCCATATCTTTAACCTTGCCTTGCTTGCTAAACAAGCATGGCGCATCCTTACGAACCCAGATGCCCTGTGGGTCAGAGTGTTGAAGGCCCTCTACTTTCCTCGGGTGAACTTCACCAAGGCTAAGAAAGGCAGCAAGGCCTCATGGATTTGGTCAAGTATCTGGGAGGCAAGGAAGTGGATGGAAAAAGGCATTATCAAGGTCATTGGTAGTGGGAGAGATACCAGATTCCTCCATGATCCTTGGCTATTTGTTCGAGCGGGCCCCTTGAGACAAGATAGCAATGACGACTCCTCTGCTGTCGCGGATTACATTGACCCCATTTCCCGGGAGTGGAGATTTGATATTCTTGAGGAGTTCCTCTGCCAATCGTAGATCCAAGATGTGGCAAACACACCTGTTGGCCTCATATCCATGAGGGACTACTGGGTATGGAGATTTGACGAAAAGGGCATGTTCACGGTCAAGTCAGCTTTCCAGATGTTCCACCACCAGTGGCGGAGGGATCGAGGAGAAGAGCTTTATCTCGATGATACAAGCAAAGAGAGATGAAAATGGCTCTGGAGGCTTCACCTGCCCCCGAAAATGAAGTTCTTCATCTGGCGTGCATCGAGAGAAGCTTTGACTACTCGACACAACCTTCATGCCCGACGCTGCTCCCCATCCTCGACATGCCCGGTGTGTGACGGAACGACGAAGACTATTCACCACTGTCTTTTCCGCTGCCCACACGCGTCGAATGGTTGGAATTTTCTCTTCCCGGAGCTCGCTACCCCTCCTCCTCTCACCAATGTGCTGGACTGGCTTTTCTCTCTGTCGAACACCGGGACGATCGAGCTTGTTCAGAACTGCATTTACCTGTTGTGGCATACATGGAAGTCGAGGAATGAAAAGGTATTCAGGGAGAACCCCCCGGGCCTTTCGCAACGACTTCACGCGCAATGGTGGAGGCTCAGCGATGGAGATCCTGCCCCAAGAAAAGACCTGCCTCTACTCAACCTCAGCCTATCCCACCCCCTGAGCCAGCTTTACCACCGCCAAGTACCATTCTTTTGAAGTACACTGTGATGGATCGTTTCTTCACGATTCCCAGGAGGCGGCATATGGCGTCGTTATTATGAACGGCCATGGTCAAGTTGTTGATGGGAAGGCTGAACCCCTGCACTGCTTCTCTCCGATTGAGGCGGAAGCAAAAGCTCTTCTAGAAGGGGCCTTGGCTGCTGTGGAGCTTAATGCCCCATGCCGGGTGCGTTCGGACTGCCTGGTTTTGGTGAAGGCTCTCCAAGGATTGCCGAGGCTCTGGCCATGGCGGGCCGCAGCCAGCCTGGGAAGAATCCTAAGTCTTACCAGAGTCTGCCCCAACATCAGAATTGATTGGATTAATAGGAAGCGGAAGTCCAAAGCAGACTGGGTGGCCAGATCCTGCGCAAGGAACCAGCTACCCTCGAAATGGATTCATATTCTTAATGTTGTGTCTCCGCTTCTGTAACTTTGTTTCCACCTGATTTGGAATGAAAAGTTTGTGCCCCTTGTCAAAAAAAAAAAAAACCTGATATATCGCCGCCGTCCTCCTCTGAACCCAAGTTTCCAATTCCCATGGCGTGGCGCCGCTTCCTCTTCTGTATCTCCAACCTCACCAACGCGGCCCAAATCCCATCTCTCTCACCCCTCCTCCGATCTAACCCTTTCTTCCCTGTTTCTTCCCCTTCAGCTCTCTTCTCCACCTCCTTCCTTGTCACTAAAACCCCCAAAAAGTTCAAGAAGAAGCGGAAGAAGCCCGATTCCCCTCGCACCAAGCCCGTCCAGCATCCTTCCACCAGAAACCACCATTTCGAATCCTTGGTCGAGCGCGATTCTTACTTCCGATTCCTCACCAGATCCAAACAGTTCCTCTCCCAGCAGCCGGAGCACGTCCTCCGCCTCGATGACGCCGGCAAGCTCTACCGGGAGCTGGGCTTCCCTCGCGGTCGCAAAGTTGCTCGCTACCTCCAGCGCCACCCATTACTTTTCCAGACTTACCGTCACACGGACAATAAAATGTGGCTAGGGTTCACGGATTTCATGGAGGACTTGCTCAACGAGGAGCGATCGATTATGGGTTCCGTGGAAATCGACAGGGTTGACAAGGTCACCAAGCTGTTGATGATGTCCAAGGACAAGCGTATTCCTCTGAGTAAGATTCACCACTGTCGGTTATTGTTTGGAATTCCTGACGATTTCCGAGACAGAGTGGTTAAGTATCCCGAGCGATTTAGGGTTGCGGTTGGGAGTGATGGGAAGAGAGTGCTGGAATTAGTGAACTGGGATAAGAGCTTAGCGGTGAGCCAGCTAGAAAGGCAGTTTATGGTAGATGAGGACAAAGCCAAGAGAGCGTTTAAGTTTCCTGTAAAATATGCTAAAGATTTAGAATTGGATGAGGGGGATACTAGAACGTTGAATCTCTTGAACACATTGCCCTTGGTTTCGCCCTACAGTGATGGGCATAAGCTTGATCTTTGGAGCTTAGAGGCCGAGAAATACAGGGTTGGAGTTGTTTACGAGTTTCTCAGCCTGACTTTGGAGAAGAGAGCTTCCATTCATCACATTGTGGAGTTCAAGGATGAGTTCTCCTTGACAAAGCATACATATGACATGCTGAAAAAACAGCCCAGGACATTTTACCTTGCTGGGACTGAGATGAACTGGGTTGTGTTTCTGAAAGATGCTTATGATGAGAAGGGAAATCTCACTGATAAGGATCCACAAGTGCTTTTCAATGAGAAATTGTGTCAGTATGCTGAAATGAAGAAAGGGGAGTTGTAACCTGCAAGTGCGGTCTCCACTGATGCAATATGAGCCCGGTATGATGGAGAAGTTGAAGGGCATTGGACTGAACTTATTCAGGTTCGCTGCAGCAGGCGGATAAACTGAAATGCCTTTAGTTGACATTGACAATGTTGCAGGTATCGTCCATCGATCAATTAGAACGCACTTTGCTTCCTTTACATGACAAGCTCTATGATTATGTTTGTTAATTGACAGACGTTATTTATATTTATGATTCTGCTTCTTCTGGTGTCTAACGGTTGATTCTAGTGTTGTGTGTTCAAGACTGCATTCCATTGGAAGTGGAGTGTGCTTAGTTCACCGACATGATACCAAAAGATAGGCGATCCTCAAATGCCTTCACTCGGATATTGAACCCTCTTCCCCTTGTAAAAAGGAGAAGTCACGACTCACCAAGCGTTGATGACATTATATAAATAAAACATGTTCAGAAAACTTTTCCTAGGATCAGATTTTAAAGTTTAGTCAATTTGATTGATTTATCATTTACGATTGTATGTGGATCTACAAAGTTAGAAATGTTTTGAGATGGTGATATGAATCAGTTGTCTTTTCTTATCGTCTTAACTCTTACCCTCCCTTCCGGAAGGGAGGAAAATAGAGGGTAGGGAAAGGGAATTAGGAGGGGAGGGAAAATTTGGAGATTAAGTAAATTGGAAGGAAAATGGTATTTTATGGAGGAAAGTGGGAAGAAAAATGTGTATTGGGAATTGTTATGGATATGTTATTGGGTATGCTTATGGTGACATGCATTTCACCGTAACTTGCACTTTTAAGTTGATCTTATATATGATTATGTCGACCTAATCTGTACTTTTAGGTCGACTTTATATGGGATTGGGTCGACCTAATATGCCGTTTCAGTTTTCTGAGGTTCAACGACGTGGTTGATCTTTTATAGCAAATGGTCGACCTCTTGGGAAGCGCATGGATGACATGTACGACTACATGAGTCAGATTTCCACCCAGATGACTGACATTCGATCTTTCAGTGGAAGATACATGCATGTCACCGTAACTTCCGACTATCAAAATGCTTGCAACACTAATGAAGAAAATGTGAATGAGGGAGAGAGAGGACATGAGTAGGAACTCGATGATTTTAGATTGTGTGTTTTTATTGTTAAGTGTTAAAAACGATTGTGGATTGATATTATGTGATTTTAGATTTTAGTTATGTGTGAACAATTATGATTTGTGTTTTATTGTATTTCTTGTTAGTTTGTTTAGTTGTTGTGTTATGAAGTTATGAGTCCTTGTTATCATTATTTATGACTGATTCTGTTTGTTTGAAACGTAATTTGTACGAGCAAAAGAACCACCCATATCACTTCCCAAAGAGGTCGACCATTTGTTATATAAAAGGTCAACCGCGTCGTTGAACCTCACAAAACTGAAACGTCATATTAGGTCGACTTAATACTATATAAGGTTGACCTAAAAGTGCAAGTTATGGTGACCTAATATGACGTTTCAGTTTTGTGAACCGCGTCGTTGTATAAAAGGTCAACCGCGTCGTTGTACTTTCTTACTAATTTTGTTCGTTATTAAAATCAAAAGTAGATGGTTTGAATTTTTTGTGAACCTGTTGTTAATTTTTTTTTTATGTTCTGTGTATAAACTCTGGTATCTTTGATTCTTGGTCATATGAGTGAGATTTTGGGAAAAAAAACATAATTATCTTCCCTAAATTATGTTTAACAATAATACATAGCAATTGTATTATGAAACAAAATAAAAGAGGAAAGATAAATAACTATTTTAGTCCAAACAAATAGAATGAGCTCACATTTATCATAATCTAATTTAGTAATTATTTATTACCATCAACCTATTTTGGAGGGATGGGTTCTACAATGCATTTAACCTCCTATTTTTCTCTCCTCCACACAGTTGCTTTTTTTGGAGAACGGGGGAAACTGTCTCGGGAATGTAACTTTCGCTCCTCATCTTTCGTTTCCCTCCCTTTCCATCCTTGGAGAACAGAGGGTTAAGAAGTTTACAATGAAGACATGCTTTCTCTTGAACTCGGTCTCCAGTCCAGGATTGTGTTGTATTTGGCAATTTCAAGGGGCGAGCGTGGATATCACACCCTCAAAGAAATCCAATATATCTAGAGGAATTTTAGAATGCTCCTAATAATCGTTATTTTCAGTATAAGTTGAATTTTTACTATAACTATGAAATTCCATATACAAATTGAATTTGTATTATAAGATTAAGATACATGTTCGGTTTGTATTATAAAGAAATTTGTACAAAAATATATAAGTACAAATTAAATTTGTAGTATAACGTTAAAGGTACAAATTCATTTTGTATCATAATAGTTTCTTTAACGTTATAGGTCACAAAAATGCTTCTATGTAGATAGTGCTTTTCACTTACAATTGGAGTCAAAAGCATACAATTTTACACTTTTAGGTCACCAAAATGCTTCTACATAAAATCATAATTTTGACTCCATTGCTTATGAGCACAATTTTGACTCTATTTAAAAAATAGATGGGGATAAGCTCTTTAAAAAACTCTCAACTGCAAATATTTAAAATATCTAGTTTCAAAATATATGGGAATTGTGCTTAAATCTCTCATTAAAGTACCTTATCCAAACGACCACTAGGCAAATTTTACCATGTTGATAATTCCCGATATTTTCAGTACAAGTTGAATTTGTACTATAATATTGAAACTAAAAGTTCACTTTGTACAATAAGTAATTTGTACGAAAAGGTATCGATAATTGAATTTTTATTACAAGGCTAACGTACATGTTTAGTTTGTAATGTAAAGAAACGTGTACAAAGAAATATAGGTACAAACTAAATTTGTATCATAACGTCAAAAGTACAAATTCAGTTTGCATCATAACAATTTCTTTAAATGAAAGCATCAATACTTACGAGCATAATAATTGATATGGTTGTTAAATGGTTATGCGGTTACGGTGTTACAAAAATCAAAAAGTTAGCCGCCGGTTAAAGGTTACATTAATAATCGATAAAACAATAAACAGTCGGTTACCGATTGCCAAATCTAGCTTATTAGTAATCGACAGTTAAACGATTAGTAATCAACATTTAACTGGTTAATCGCCTAACTGATTACGCCATCCTCGCAATTTGTACAATACAGGAATTTGACAGAATGTATAGGTACAACCAATGTAGTCAAATCCTGATTTTAATCTTAAAATCTTACGATATCATGATCTCACCTATGGGTTTCGATTTTGATTTTACTACTAATCTTTGAACCTTAAAATCCTATAAAATCCCGATTTAAAATCTTAAATGGAGCAAAAGCAAGCCGACCATGTCAGGTTTTGTCCTCGAACTGGGTCAAGTTCACCTCCCCGGATCCAACACATGGACAACACAACACTAACTTAACATGCAAGCCTCAATTGGTTTGCGTTCTATTTCTCATATGCTTCTCTTCCGCAAGCCCACAACCAACTATTTCCATCAACGATTTCCTTTATCATCTTTTCAATTAGCTCCTTGTTTGTTCCACCATCACCCTCACAGTTCGCCCAATCCCCTTGCAAGCTTATGTTCGTCTCCCAAACCTTTAGTGCCACCATCCCCGACCTTCTTTCGATCAAGAAGGGAATGCATCAATCAATGAGTTACCTTTGCAGGATGATGGCGATGAAAGAAATATGATTGGTATTGAAAGTACTTCAAGTGATCCTAAAATTAATGATATCATTACTTAAGCAAATAGACAAAGATTTTAGGGCTAATACCACTCGGAAACCCTAACTATTAAGAATGTACCATTTGTGTTCTAAAGTATCCAATATGACATTTGTGCCCTAAACTATTTGTCCGTTAGAGTTGACCGGCGTTGACCATTATTATTTAACAGAAAATGCAGTCAGCGTTGACGTGGCATCTGACATTGAATTTTAATATTAATTTTTAGTTAATTTTCCATCTAATAAAAAATTTAAAAAATCTTGTCCCCTTCTCCTCCTTAGTCTTCTCCAACCTCTCCCCCTTCTCCTTCTATAATTAACCTTGACCTTGACCCAGAACTCCTCCCGCATCCAATTTCTATCATCGTCACCCGGAACTCCTCTCGCTGCTTCTTCGTCATCTCTTCTCCTTACTTCCGCAGCCGCCCAGATCCAGTCTGAATACGCGGAACCACCGCTTCTCTTTTGCAGAACAACCACCACCAAATTGACCATGGGATTTGTCCGCACCTGGATATTCAACTTCCCGCCGCCATCGAAGAGAGGGGTGAGGGACAGAGGCGCCGATGAGGATATGGAATTCGGACATACCTTTGGTTGATGGTGTCACAGGTACGCTGCCGGTTGTGGCGCATCTGTCGGTCGTCGGATCCCCAGCTCCGTCCGGTTCGCCTAGCATCCCCAGCTTCATCCGGTTTGCCGGCATCCTAACCAGATTCTTGCACAATCTCAACCAGCTCCGGACGGAATCCTCGAATCCCCCGATTAGGTACTCCCTCGGCCGGAAGTAACCCCTCAAACTGCTGCAATTGAACCGACCGATGCTTGGTTGGAGTCGAACGCCAGCAGCTGGAGGCGGGCAAGCGTAGTAGAGCAGAGCAAATTAAATGTTCAGCGCGAAATCGACGAAATCTGTAGGTATGAAGAGACGAGGAAGAATGGATTATTTTGTATTTTGTATTTTAATTTAAAAATAACAACTTGATGTGGCAGTTGACGTGACGCATATATGGCTGCCACATATGTGCCATATAACACATTCAACATTTTATGATTAACTGTTTGGTCAACCGTTATTTATAATGATCAACGAAATCACCAGAACGTAAATGACACACAACTATCATACGTCAGGACACAAATGTCATATTGAATAGTTCGGGACACAAGACAAAGACGATGTTGAGGATTTAGATGTTGATCCTAACAATCTACTGTTAACTAGATTAAGTAATTTCTATGAGGTTTTAGGTTGCTTTTTTTTTTGTTTATTGTATAGTACACATGGTTCAAAAAGGCACGCTTAATCTTACGCTTAGGCACGCCTAGGCGCAAGGCAATGGCAAAACGCCTCGCCTAGGGGTTTCACGCCTAATTAGATACTGGAACACGTCATGGAGTAAGGCGACATATAAGTCTCTCCTAAACATTACTAGATGGAGCTAGTAAGTCAATATTAAAGGCCAAAATTAACATCAACTACGAAATCAATTTTCTATTGCAATATTTTCAATAGCTCAAGAACTTTGTGAGCTATTGAGCTATGATTATATGAATTCGTGAGCTATGTTCTTGTCAATAAGTGTTGAGTAAGTTATTTAATCATTTTAACTGAAGTGAGGAAGTGTTGTAGATAATTATTTCACTCATCATGCAGTGCGAATAACTATTTTTCTTCCAACGCCTAGGCACGCTTAGTCTACGCCTAGGTGAGCTAGGCGCAAGGCAAAGGCTCAACGCCCGCCTTACGCCTAGCGCCTTTTTGAACCTTGATAGTACAATAACAAATCTATGATTTTATTTGTGTTTGTTTAGCATATAAACTTACCTTGAGAATCAATTAAGTTTTATATGGTTTGTTATTATCTAGGATATACATCATTATTATTATCCGATGTTTTAATTGATAATTTTAATCTGAACCTTAAAATCTTACGATTTTAATCTACGGTTCGGATTTTATCTCAGTTCTCAATTTTACGTAAAATCTCAATTTTAACTACATTGGATACAATTTTAGTTTTTCCTATAAGCCCATGTAAGTAAATGTAGAAGAGTTTTGTTTCTATCTTCTCATTACTCAATATACACAAGTGAAATGGATTTATACAGGAAGGATTCAGCTGTCGGTGCTCAAGGAAAGGAAGGAAGTATTATCCTCTTGTATCTAGCTATCAATTAGAATGGGTTTCTGATAAGGGGTGTGGCAAGGATATGGGTAGTTGGTGGTTGATCATTATTACAAGTATGAGTTGTGATTTACCAACTGACATTAGGCTTTAACACCCTCCCTCAAATTGATGATAATCTTGTAGCATCAGTTTGTTCGATAGTAACCAATGTTGACTTGCAGTAACAACCTTGGTAAGCAAATCAACAGTTTGATCTTCCGAAGTAATGTGACTCAACTTGATCAAGCCATCACCCACTAGCTGGCGAATATAGTGAACGTGTACCTCAATGTGCTTGGTGCGATCGTGCAGTATTGGATTTGTGGCTATTTGTATTGCACTGGTATTGTCTACAAACAGTTGAATTGGCATTGTGCACTCGACCCCGAAATCACCCAATAATCGATGAAGCCATACAATTTCAGAACTCACCTCAGACATAGATCGATATTCCGCTTCTATAGAAGATTTGGATACTCGATCTTGTTTCTTGCACCGCCAAGAGATGAATGAATTTCCCAATCTCACACACCACCCCGACGTTGATCGTCTAGTATTAATACAAGCAGCTTGGTCTGCATCAGAAAATGCTTCGAGAGTGAAGCAACCAACAGAGGGTAGATAGATCCCAACCTCTAGTGATCCTTTCAAGTACCTAAGTATTCTGAAAACGGCCTCCAAATGAGGTTGACGAGGCTGTCCCATAAATTGACTCACCACTTTGCACGGCATAAGCAATGTTAGGTCCCGTCGAGGCTAAGTAGATAAGGCTACCGACAAGCTTCCTGAAAAATGTAGAGTCTGGTAATAATTCACCATCGTCAACGCTAAACTTGGTGTTCAACTCCATAGGCTTAGAACAAGGCTTGCACTAAGAGTACCTAGCATTCGTCAATAGATCAGTTATATATTTCTTCTGAGAGAGAAAAAATACCATGAGTGGAGCAAGCTATTTCCAGCCCCAAGAAATATGACAAGGAATCCAGTTCCTTTAATTTGGAATGAGAATGTAGGGAGTGAGTGAGAGCCTTGATACCATCTTGATCACTGCCTGTTACGATCATATCATCTACATATATGAGTAACAAAACCAAGCCATGTGTTGATGAACGAATAAACAACGATGGATCATTATCACTCTACCGAAAATCCATACCCAAGATAGTACTATGGAACTTTTTGAACCATGCCCGTGGAGCTTTCTTTAACCCATACATAGACCGCTTCAACAAACATACTTGATCTCTACGGGAGTTACCAATGCCAGGGGGCACTTCATATAAACTAGCTCCTTAAGATCAACGTGTAAGAAGGCATTCTTGACGTCAAGTTGGAAGAGAGGCCAACCACGTATAGAAGCCACTGCTAGTAGAGTACGTACAATCTGCATGCGAGCAACAGGCGCAAAAGTCTCTTCATAATCCACCCCATACGCTTGTTTAAAAACCTGAGCAACAAGACGTGCTTTGTAGCGCTCAATTGTGCCGTCAGGACGACGTTTGATACTATATACCCACTTCCAGCCTACTATAGAACAAGGAGGAGGCATGAGATTGACAACCAGCCAAGTATCATTTTCTTCAAGGGCTTGAAGCTCTTCTTTCATATCTGCGTCCCACTCGGGGGTGACCAACTGCCTGGGCATAACATGTTGGAATAGTAACTAGAGTAGTAGAGAACCAAACATAGTCATGTAGTCATGGTGGAGGTTGTCCCAAATTCGATCGAGTAGAACGCCGCGAGCCAAGAAGAGGACTGGGAGGATCTGCAAGACCGTTATGATCCGATTGAGAGGTGGTAGAATCCCTACTGAAGTTGCATCATCACTATCATCATGGTTTGAATCTGAGGAGTTTTTAGGGGTAGGGAGATCAATAGTAGGTCTTGTATGTTCAACAAAAGCAATAAGTGACGCGATAAGATTACTAGACACTTGGGAATACTCCTGCGACGAACTCGAACTGGAAGATGATGGAGCAAAATACATCTCTGACTCGATGAAAAAGACACTAGGCGAGATACCCATCCTTCGTGCCACATGATCATAGAAAACATATCCGTTGTGAATGTCACTATAACCCATGAATGCACATTTAGTGGCTCGAGGTGAGAGTTTATTTCTTTCTTTGCGGGGAAGAAGAACATAACAGGTACATCCGAAGACACGAAGACGTGAATAGTCAAGGTGTATAGAATATAACTTGTATAATGGTGAGAGATTATTGAGAGTGGAAGTGGCCTGCCTATTAATGAGATGAACGATTGTATGAACTGCTTCGACCCAAAATCGAGCCGGGACATGTGCATGAAACAACATAGCCCGAGTCAATGCTAAAACATGTTGATGTTTTCGTTCGACAAGACAATTTTGTTGAGAAACCCCAGGACATGATTGTTGAACTAAAATGCCCTAAGACTTAAGGAAGACATGGAGAGGAGTGGAGGAGAATTCCCCGCCAGGATCCGACCTAATGATTTTAATTGTTTTTCCAAATTGAGTTTGAATCATGGTAATAAACTCTTTTGTCACTAGGAGAAGATAACATTTTTGACGTAAAAAATAGACCCTGGAATATCTTGTAGCATGATCTACGAATAATGCGAGTAACAAAAACCAAGTCCAGAAGTAGTCGGAGCTGGACCCCAAAGATCTGTGTGAATCAAATGGAATGGATCATGAAATTCAGTTGTACTAGATGGAAATGAAGTTTGTTTCAGTTTAGCTTGAATACAACTTGTACAAGGAAGAGAAGGTTCAATAGACAAGTCTTTATTGGGTAATAACTTGGAATGAAACATAGACTGAAGACGTGAATGATGTGGGTGATCAAGACGAGCATGCCATACTTCCCATGGTTGACTCAACGAAGAAAAAGCTAATGGAACTGCATAACTCGAACTTGAACTCAATAATGGCATGGAAGGGGGAACTGACAGACTCTCTAAATGAAAGACACGACCAACTTTGGAACCTTTACCGATCTCCTGCCCCATCCTCAGATCCTGCACAAAACAACCATTTGGGGCAAACACAACCCGACATCCATGATCGGTTAGTTGACCAACAGATACAAGGTTCGGAATGAGTTTTGGAACATACAACGTGTGTGGAAGAGTTAATGCAGAATCAACTACAGAACTAATTCCCGTCACATTTAACTCATGTCCACTAGCAGCTTGAATTGACATATTATGAATGGGTTTTATGCAATCAAAAGTTTGTCGATGGCTGGACATGTGATTAAACGCAGCAGAATCAAAATACCAAGATTTAGTGTTACCAGTTTTAGAAGTCGCGGAGAAGACAGTTTGAAGTGCTCCTGGGAGTGCTTGTTGTATAGCTAGTTGAACCATGACATTAATGTCATTTTGGGAAGTGCCACTAGGAGTGATCTCATTAACAAACCCTGGAGTGGTAGCATAGGCAGCACCAACACGCCCGGAACTAGAACCAGAGCTCCTCTTCCCATGATAATTTTCTCGATAGTTCTTAATTTGACAGCACTCGGAAATAATATGACCAGAAGACTTACAGTAAACACAATATTTGCGTTTCTTGCAGTGAGTACGAATATGGCCTGATTCATTGTAGTGATGACACTGAATTGGCCTTGGAAATTGCACACCAACGGGAGCTGCTGAGACTTGAGGATTGTGTGAACGAAATTGGGGGCGCTGGACAGAATATGCAATCTCAGTAGCTGCGCTTTGCTGGTCAATTTGGATTTGA